AGCAGTCACCTAAATCGCGAGAAAATGAAAGCTGCCGTTTTATCCGTGCACCGATCGTAAAATGTAAAACACTTGAAGAACCTGGCTGTCTTGTTCTATCCTGGTTTGCAACCCATCAGAAATCCAAGAAATCACCTAAACTAAACATAGAAATACCAAAAAAAGATTTTATTAATATTTAGAAAAAAAATTATGCTAAATTTTAAGTAGTAATTAAAATAATAATAATATTAATACGACCGAGTGATATTTAATATTATTAAAAATAATAAAAAAATTCTAATTAATTATTGTTTGTTTTTTTTAAAGTTTTGATAGATAATATTATACCAACTTCTTTATTTATCCCCCTTTTTTTTTAATTTAATAATATTATCTTTATTTTTCAAATAATTCAATTAAATATTTTTATTAATCTAAAAAAAATGATTAATGTTATTATTCATTATTTCTTTGTTTCTAAAAAAATTAGCATTTTGTAACAAACGTTTTAGGTAATTAACAAATGTAAATTTTGCAAAATATTATCCTTTTTTTAATATGAAAAACTTAATTGACAAATCGAAATTATGCAGCTATTTTTTCCTTTTTTCTAAAAAAAAATTTAAAAATATTGTTGGAAAATTAAAATTAGAAAGTAGAAAATATTTTGCACATTTTTTCTGCTCTTCAATTACAATTCATAAACAAAGTGCAAGTTTTAAGTAAAAAAAAATGTTATAAATCAAATTTTGTTTAAGAAATTTTTAATTTATTTTGGAAAAAATATTTACAAAATTTCTATTTGTTAAAAACGATTGTAAAATTATTCGATAACATCAATATAACTTCTTTTCTAAATAAATATTTAATCATTAATATATTATGATTAAATTAAATCGACTATTTTTAATAATTTTCAAAAAAGTTTTTTGACAATTTTCAAATCCATTTGTTTACAATATTCAACTTCACGAAATTTCAATTAATTGTAAATTCTTCAATTAAATATTATATTAGACAATAAAAACTTAAAATAATATAAAAAAAATCCGCAATTGAGCTTTTTCAAAAAAATTAGTTTCAAAATTCAATTATTTCTAAAAATTCACGCTATATTGCTTTTAATACTCAATTATTATCTAATATTTTAACAGAAATTAATTTTTAAATAAAATTTTATTAGAAAATTCTACGAGAATTCAATTATTTAAATACAAAAATAAATAATTTATTGAGTAATTGAATGTTTTTTAAAATTTAATTCTCATAAAGAATTTTATCAACAAATTTTTAAATAATTGAATTCTTTCGACGAATTGTAATAAAAAATTTTAATAATTGCATTTTTCGAGAAATTCAATTAAAATTGTATTAAAAATAAATGAAATTGTGCGATGAGTTTTATTATTTATGAAAATAATTGAATTCCTAAAAAGAGTTTTAATATTTATGAAAATAGTAGAATTATCGCAAAGAAATTTTTTGTAAATTGAATTCTTTTGGAAAATTTTATTAAAATAGTAGATATTTAAATCAATTATTTTTAATATTTTTTGAAAAAGTTCTATGAGAATTTTCAAATCCATCTGCTTCACAACGAAGTTTAATAAAATTTCGATTATTCAGAAACTCTTTAATTAAATATATATTAAATAATATAAACTTCAAATATAATTTCAAGAAAAATTTAATTAAACTTTTGCAAGAAAATTAATTTTACATAATTGTTATAGTTAAAAGTATGAAAAATTCAAATTTCTAAAGATTTTAAATTGAAACCTTTTCAAAATTCAATTATTTTTGAAAATTCACGCTATAATGCTTTTAATATTCAATTATTATTTAAAATTTTAACTAAAATTCATTTTTAAATCAAGTTTTATTAGAAAATTCTAAGAGAATTCAATTATTTAAATTAAAAAATAAATAATTTATTGAATAATTGAACGTTTATCTCAAAATTAAAATCTGATAAAGAATTTGATCAACAAATTTTTAAATAATTGAATTCTTTCGACGAATTTTAATAAAATTTTTGAGAATAATTTCATTTTTCGAGAAATTTGATTAAAATGGTATTAAAAATAATTAAAATTCTGTGGTCAGTTTTATTATTTATGAAAATAAAAATGCAATTATCTTGATAAATAACAAAATTATTCATAAAGATTCAATTATTTTTAGGAATTTAAAAAAAATTCTTTGCAAAATTCAATTATTTTTATAAATAACAATATTCATCACAAGAATTTAATTATTTTCAAAAATAATAAAATTCTTGGAAGAAATATAATTATATTTACAAACTTTAACGAATATCTCTCGTCAAGAATTCAATTATCTTTATAAATAGCAAAATTTTTCGTCAAAAATTCAATTATTTTCAAAAAATTTAAATAAAATTCTTTGCAAAATTTCAATTATTTTCAAAAAAGTTTTTCGTAATTCAATGATTTTCAATATTTACTATTTTCATTAAATTTATTAAAAAATTTTATTATTGAAAAAGTATTTAATGTTAAAATTCTACGAAAACATTCAATTATGTTCATAAATAATAAAATTTCATTTAGGAATTCAATTATATTTTCATCGCAGAAATTCAAATCTTTGGAAATCTAAATTCCGAAAAAGAATTTTATTATTTATGAAAATAATTCAATTCCTGTTAAAAAAATTTATTATTTATTGGAAATAATTTTAAAAGTTTGTAAATAATAGAATTCATATGAAATTGAGGAACATTTTTGAAAATAATTGAAATTTTGACGAAAATTTTATTAAAAATTTTCAAAAATTGAATTTTGCCAAAGAATTTTGTTAAAAATTTTAAAAATAATTGAATTTTGAAAAAGAATTTGATTACTTTTGAAAATAATTAGATTTATGCAATCATTTATAATTTTTCAGAAATTTCTAATGAAATTCATTGAAAATTGAAATTTTACAAAATTCCAATATTCATCTATTTATGAAAATTGTTATTTTGTAATAGTAATAATTATTATAAATAAATAATTATAAATAATTTAATTCAGAAAAAAACGTGGAGGCAATGAAAGAGAATTTATAAAAAAAAAATGAAAAAAAAGTTCAAAGACGTTTTATTGGAGATAATAATCTGAAATCGGGCAAATTATATAGTTTAAGTGTCCCATGTTTCTGCCATGAGTGATCTATGAAGCGTAACTCGACTTGTTGATCCTCCCACTCGCTGAAATAGCCAATATTAATCCAGTGAAATGATTTTATTAACTATCTATTTTCATTGCATTTACGATCTTTTTAGTATTCCGTGAATTCATCTCTTTCCCAATCTCCGAGCCGTGACCACCTCGAAATCTCTTCTCCCTATTTTTATGCAAAAATTTTTATCATTATTACCTGTTTTTGTATTTTTTTAAAAAATTTATTTCTATTATAATTAAAATAAAATAATAGAATAAGTGGTAATTTATTGTTATTATTATTTTTATTTATATTTACACTAAAAGAAATTTTGATTTAAATAACTGATTATTTGTCTATTGTCAAATAAATAATTTACTTGATTTCATATTTGAACCAATAATTTCAGTATTTGAAGAAAATACAATTTAATTCACTCAAATAACAATTATTTGATACAAGTGAATATTTATTTTAATCAAATAAATTTTTTTTCAGTGTAAATATAAATTATTAATATAATAATTTATACAATAATATAAATATAAATTAAATTTATATTCTATTTATTATTTTATATTTTACATTTATATTCTAAATATTAATCAAATTATAATATATAATATGAAAAAATTATAAATTTCATATAATAATAAAAAGAATAGAAGAAAAAATTGCAAACTAGGAGGAATGGATACAAAAACAATAAAAAAAACCATCGTATACATTTGGAAGTATTTTCTTTTTTATTAAAACAATTTCAAAATATAAAAATACTGTACAATTATTAAAAAATATAGGAATGAAGTACTTAATATACTAACACTTAAAACTATCTTATAATTAAACATATAATTTTATGTACAAAAAAAGTCACGGATCAAATATATATACATCGTCATTAGTTGAAATTATGCTTTTCTTTAAAATACTTTTCTGCTTTTTTCAAATTAATTTTCATTTTCACCCAAAAATATAATTATTGTCCTTCAACCTCGACAGTATAATAAAACTGTTCACGTGACTTTATTTTAATATCACTCCATTTTAAGTACAAATCTAAAATTGTTCTTAAAAATTTTAAGTCCATATACATATAATACTATTCCCTCAAAAAAAAAAAAAAAAAATACAGAAACCCTTTGTATATTAATAGTCAAAAAAAATTTACTATACACAAATGAATTTTCAAAGTACGACGAGAAAATAATAATATTTATCATTTACATACAAAGAATCAAAAGTCAATCTTTGGCAGATTTGCTGTATGGCTGAAGGTATGAAAAACAGACAGTCCGAACTTATTATTTAGTTAACAATTCTTGTTTTTTGAAAACACTCGATGTTTTTTTTTAACAAAATTTTTTTTACAAATAATCTTTTGTTATTAATTATTATCAATCTTATTAATATCAATATTATTAGTCTTATTATCGATATCACTTATACATATAAATTTGTCTTTATTTTTTAACATTCTTTCTTATTATTTGCGACATTCGTCAGTTTTTGTTGAATAATTTTTTTTTTTAATTAACATTTCGCTTACTCGTTCAATTTTTGTAATTTTTATAATCATTATATTTATAACTATATAATTTTCATAATTATATTTATAATAATAATTTTCATAATTATATTTATAATAATAATTTCAATAATTATATTTATAATAATAATTTCAATAATTATATTTATAATAATAATTTCAATAATTATATTTTTAATAATAATTTTCACAATTATGCTTATATATTAATTAATCATTTTTATAATGTTTTTTTTTGACTAATTAATCAAAATTAGTAAGAAAAAATATAATTTTTTTTAAAATAATCAGAATAAAAATTAATTTTTCATTGATGGAAAATAAATGAAGCGATGTAAAAATAGAGAGAAAAATATAGAAGTCTCTGATAAAAAAATGAGGCGGGATATCTTAATTTTTTGTGTGTTTGTTTTATAATATTCAGACGAGCGTGAAATATTTGAATGTCATTTTGAATTTGACGAAAATAATTAAAGGAATCGTGAATCCTAAGGTCAAATTGGCCTTGGTTTCTTTTAACGATCCCTTGTCTAGGCCTCCACTGCGCTAAAGCAGCTGTTAGTGTCATTTTTGACATTTTTTTTCCTTTACTCTCCCTTGTGACTACCACACACATGCACATATCATTCTCCTTTTTACAACGGATGTGTTCGCCTACTACTTAATTAGTCAATTAAAAAACATCATTTTTCTCTAAACAATATTAATTTTTATTTTAAACACTGAAAAAAAATGACAAATCTCTCCTTGTATTTATTTAAATCTCAAATTTTATTTCTCTCTCTCTCTCTCTCTCTCTCTCGAGAAAAAAATGACAAATTTCAATTTCTCTATTTATTTAAATCGAATTAATTAAATTTTATTTCAAAAAAAGAAAAACCGCACTCTGACTAGTGAGTTCATGAAAATTAATAATCGTGAGAATATAATGTTTTCTAAAATCAATATTATTTCAAGTGTTTTAAGAGAATTTTCCAAAAAGGAGAAATATTGAAACTTATGTTTCGACAATAGTATTAAATTTTGTTTTTTCAAGCTCCAGAAACAAAAAAAAAAAAACAAAAAAAATTTTTCTGAAAAATTATTTTGACGAGGTAATTAATTATCTCTTGTTTCAAGTTTGTGAGTTTTGGCAAAATATTTTTGCAACTAGAACAGAGAGTGAGAGAGAGAGGGGTAAATTTGTAATAAAAGTAAAAAGAAGAAGAATCGGTGTTTTTTTCCCGAAGATTCACTACCGCAATAAAGACAGTCCGAGACTTTAACGCAGCGTGTCTTCGTTAAGCGAGTAAAACGCAGCTAGAGAGAGAGTTTGCTTTGGCTGGATTAAAATAACTAACTCCATCCAAAATATTCACACGCTCGCCTTCGCCTGGTTACTGCATATGCGTGAACGTATATGTAAACACATATCTCATGACAGACAGGTCTTATATACCCATACATAATCAGTAGTCAGAAAATAAAACAAAAAAAAAATTGGTGCCTTTTTTTGTATTAGAGCGACGTTCTCGTAAAAAATATTCCCCCACTATTCTAAAATTGGAATTTTTACCTCTTTTCTTTTTTTATTGAATTTTTTTTGTAGAAAAAATTCTACAAAAAAAAAAATTCAATTTTTTGTTATAAACATAATTTTTCTAATTAATAACTTTTCTTTGAAAAAAAAGAAGAAACAGGTAAATTCTTTTTTTTTTTGCGAGGAAAAACCCAGTGTAGAGCTTTTGGGGGATTTTAATTTCTAATCCTGAATTTACTGGTATTATACGGGTCAGTGTTGCAAATAAAAGAGCTTGTATTGTTAAAAGGCAACCAATTTTCTTTTCGTGGTCCCCCTTATTCTCGAAAAATACAGTGTGCAATATAATCACAAATCGTAAATTTAACTTTAAAAGGATCCTATTTTACTCTCAAGAGCTGTTGGGATTAAAATTCGGATACCTGTAAAGGGAAGATATTTTCCATTTTAGTAATCTTCCATTTACCATTTTGACATTGTGAAAAATCCAAGGTATTTCCTATGGGGAATCCCCATGGGCACGCGCTTTATAATTTTCCTCCATATTGCCCCATCGTAGGGCATATTAATATTATACTATTTTATTAAACGGAAATAAAAATAAAAAATTTATTTTCCTACCCTATTTCTCTTGCTTAATTTATTTTCATTTATTCATTAGATTAAAAATTATTTATTTTTATATTTTGAAATTAGAACATTTTTTCAAATTTCTAATTTAAATTTGAACGAGTAAGCAAACAAAAAAAAAATCGCCGAGATCAGTAATTCAAATTATTGCGAAATTATACTAAAAACTTTGTTTAGCAATATTGTAATAATAATCAATCGATTAACATTATGATCTCGAAAGTTTCTGCAAAAATTTTTCTACTTTCATTAAAACCAGGAAAGTAGCAAATTTTTTTTTTCCCAACAGATAAACAATCCCGAATTACATAAAATATGTAATCTATACAAATTTACGAAAAACAATGACAAATTAATGCAAAATTTATAAATTAGAAAAATATTCAAAATATTCAAAGGAAGAGACATTTTTTTTAACGAAAAATTGCGAAAAGAAAGAAAAGATTTAAAATATTCTTTCTCTATATAGAAGAAAAGCAATCGAGTTAAAAATCTACTTATATAGAAATTTACAAAGTAAATGTTGCTTGCTCGGAGACATTTGGAGGTTTTCGTACCAGCGAATCCGTGAAAATGCTCCTCTGGTCAAAAAAAAAAAAATCACTGGATCAATAGGATTTATCATGAAAAATACCTCGATAAATCCAAATATTTTTTTGTCGCCAAAAAAATTTTATAAATTGGCGTTCCACTCTCCTTGCATTCTCCAAACGCTGAAGGCATAGGATATTTTCTCCTGTGCCATGTAAGTACAAGACGACGATGCAATTTCCTTGGCTGCCAAATGAAATGCATTTCTTTGATTGGACTCACCTGTTGAAAGAAAGAAAACTGAAAATTAATTATCAAGAAAAATTTTTTATAAATAAATTTAAATTTAAATAAATTCAATTTTTGATGGTGAAAAGTGAAGTCGTTAACCCATTAAAAAGTGTTAGTAATTTCTACGCATCTTTTTCCTTTTAGTTTTTTCGAAAAAGCAATATGTACCATTTTTCAAAATACATATTAGAATAAAATTTACAATAAAATCTACAAATCTTACCCATTAATTTTCAATTGACTCCATAAATTGTGTTTGTTGTGTGTTTGAAATTGTATGTTCGTGACCTCGCGCGATCCGTAAAAAAGCTCTTTTTAGATCTGAAAAATAGTTTATATATGCTTTCTTTTACTAAAAGGAAAATAATGTTAAGAATTTTTTTAAACAGCAGTTTTTGAAAGATTTCAAATAAAATATGGGGTCGTGTAATTTTTTTTTTTTTTTTTTTTTTGACAAAATTTACTTTGCGAATTAATTTTTCCTTTGGCTCTCTTTTCTCAAAATTTACTTTACAATTTAATTTTGCGGCTCTATTTCTGTGTTTTCGCAGTGGAAAATACAAATATTGTATAAATGAAAAAATAAATTGAAATTCTAAAAAAGCGAAATGAGAAAAAGTTTCATGAAACTTTTATGACGAAAAGTATTACACGTAAAATGAAAAAGAAAGTAACACAAGAGAATGATTAATAGACTGTTCAATGTCAAAAATTATTCCTGAAAGGCTTAGTTATATGTTTAAATTTGAATGAATGTTTTGAAAAAAAAAATTGAGAGACGTAGGGAAAAAAAGTGGATTTAGGCGCGAGTGCAGAGCAAAGCACTCGTGAAAGAGAAGATAAGAAACTGGGGCCTACATTCAATCGTCGGGTCCAGCTTCCTAAAATTATATAAAAAAAAAAATCAACTATGGAGGTCTGTTTAAATTACATCAAGAATAAATAAACAATTCCGTTCTGTAAATAGTGTACAAGAACTGTATTTATAAAATCATCGAGTACATCTTCCAAAAACTACCGTTTATCATATAAATATTAGAATTGAAAAAAATTTTCACACACAATTTATGGTTCTATTAAAAAAAATTAAAAGGAATAAATCCCTTAATTATGTTTCATTGCCAATTATTATCAATGTTTGCTTTTATAAATTTTCCTTGTTCAGTTAAAAATTCGATTTACAATTGGAATATAAAATTTCAATTAAGAATTGCAATTACAAAAAAAAAGAGAAAATAAAATTACAAATGAAATTAAAAAATTAAATTTCAATTAGTAATTGCAATTAAATTTGTAATTAGAAATTATAATAACAATTAGAAAATAAAATTGTAATTGCAATTAGAAAATAAAATTTCAATTAGAAATGACAATTACAATCAGCAAGTAAAATTACAATTGCAAAATAAAATTACAATTTCAATTACAAAATAAAATTACAATTTCAATTACAAAAAAATATTTCAATTAGAAATTGCAGTTACAATTAGAAAATAAAATTACAATTTCAATTATAAAATAAAATTTCAATTAGAAATTGCAAATATAATTAGAAAATAAAATTACAATTTCAAATACAAAATAAAATTTCATTTATAAATTGCAATTTCAATTACAATTATAAAATAAAATTTTAGTAAGAAATTGCAATTACAATTAGAAAATAAAATTCCAATTCCAATTAGAAAATAAAATTTTAGTAAGAAATTGCAATTACAATTGGAAAATAAAATTATAATTGCAATTAGAAAATAGAATTTCAATTAGAAATTACAATTACAATCAGCAAATAAAATTACAATTTCAATTACAGAATAAAATTACAATTTCAATTACAAAAAAATATTTCAATTAGAAATTGCAGTTACAATTATAAAATAAAATTTCAATTAGAAATTGCAAATATAATTAGAAAATAAAATTACAATTTCAAATAGAAAATAAAATTTCATTTATAAATTGCAATTCCAATTAGAAAATAAAATTTTAGTAAGAAATTGCAATTAAAATTAGGAAATAAAATTATAATTACAATTAGAAAATAAAATTATAATTGCAATTAGAAAATAAAATTACAATTTCAATTACAAAATAATATTTAAATTAGAAATTGTTATTAGAATTAGAAAATAAAATTACAATTACAATAAGAAAGTAAAAAATTAGCAAAATAGTGCTGGCAAAAAGACGGAAATAATTATGTTCAGCAACATTGATAACAATCAATAATAGCATAAGCTGATATAAATAAAAAGAATTCAGAATAAATAAAACCAAAATAAAAAAACAGAAACAAATAAAATAACATAAATAATTAAAAGACAGAAACAAATAGAATAACAGAAATAATTAAAAGACAGAAACAAATAGAATAACAGAAGTAATTAAAAAAAACAGAAACAAATAGAATAACAGAAATAATTAAAAGACAGAAACAAATAAAATAACAGAAGTAATTACAAAACAGAAACAAATAAAATAACAGAAATAATTAAAAAAAACAGAAACAAAAGAAGTGATAGAAACAGAAACTGGAGAAGCTTTTAAAAAAACAGAAACAGATTTGAAATTAAATGGAGACAATAGAATCAGCTTATGGGAACAATAGAAACAAAAGCAACAAGAATAATTTATTAAAAATTAAATATACCTTCGTCTAATCCATCCAAATTGTCAGCAGGACATTGAGCAACCGTGGAGAGGAATTCGATGTACCTGGTCGCTAGCCTCAGGGTTTGTATTTTACTGAGCTTATCACTTGGCATTGTTGGTATTTTCTTTCTTAAATCCGTAAAAGCTTGATTTAAACTCTGCGTTCTTTGTCTCTCTCTAACGTTGGCGATGACCCTTTGATTTTGAATTTCCTCAAATGAAGCGCCACTCTTTCGTCGTATTTTAAATTTACTCGACGATGACGATGAATTATCACCATCATCCGAATCATTATCAATGCTGTACTTGCGTTTTCTTTTTGTTGTCGTTACTTTTGACGATGTTGTTGTTGTTGTTGATGATGAATAATTTTTCGTCGATGCTGGTAAATTACGCATTTTATTCTCCTTAAAATTTGTCACATCTTGAAATTTATCATTTTTATTGTCAGCGAAATTTGTTAATTCCTGCTTGAAATTTGTCACTTCTTCTTTAAAATCAATCACCTCGGGTTTGAATTCAATAATATTGTTCATGTAGGCAGGATCGTGAATTTGGGAATTCATTTCCTCGCCGGATGAATACATTTGTGGTGATGGAGATAGATAGAGGTTTTCATGATCACGAACGTCGGTGATTAATTCCGGTGAATGATCGTGTACCCGACGATCGCAATCGATCTTGTCGTAAATCAATCGTTCATTATGAGATTGTTGATAACGTTTATTGTTCACGTTCTGATAGGAGATGTAGTTTTGCGATTGATAAGGATGATGATGATGATGGTGATGATGTTGTTGTTGTTGCTGCTGTTGTTGTTGTTGTTGTTGTTGACGGTGTAAACTTGGTAAAAGTCTTTGATCCTGTGGATTGCTGAGATCCATCAAATGACTCGGTGGTGAAAATCTCTCGTAATGATTTGGCGAATTACTCGCAGAACTTCCGCCGCTGTGTGGAAATCCTGAACTGTCATTCACCATCACATACACACTCGGAATACCCGGTAGACTCATTTGCTGAGCTTGCATCATTTTTCCAACAAAAAAAAAAGAGAATGTAAAAATAAGAAAAACTTAAAAGTTTGCGAAAAAAGGAAATGAGTTACTTGGGGAAAATTTCGACGATGTTTGGGGTTGAGGTGCACAACTCGAAATGTCAGGTTTGAAGACTTATTGGAAGGAATGGCCCTGTCTTCTTCTCTGGGATGTCAGATGAGGAACCCCGCCCTCTTCAAGATGCGTTTCTGCCTTCTTTTACCACCACTCCAATACTCCCACTACGAGGATTTCTTTTATCTGAAACTGTCAGTTATACTCCCCACCCACGCCTTTGGAGTTTCAGGTTCAGAATCTTTTGCTGCCCCTGAGGATCAGTGGTTTTAAGAAGAAAATGGAGAGGGGATGGGGATGCTGGAATGTGCGAGGGGAAATGGAGAATTGTGGGTGGAGGCTGAAAAAGAAGAAGAAGAAGAAAAAGAGAGGGAAAGAAAATCCAAAAAGGTAGGGAGAGAAAGAGCGGAAGAGCGAAAAAGCAGGTTGTAAAAAGAAAAAAAAATGTTATTGTATCTCCACATCTGGAAAAATGAAACAATAGAAAAAGCGGGTCCATATATCCATCCATCAGTGCAGGCGAAAAAATTTCAACAATAGAAAACAGGATGTAAGGAGAAAAATTTTCAAATTCAAAATACTTTTCAAAAAAAAAAAAAACATGTTTTTCTCCATAAATCAATTAAAAACCTTCGGAGAATTTATTTAAAATTGCAGTAAGAACCATTCAATTCCGAAGAAGAATTTTATTATTTATAAAAATAATTGAATTTCTGCTAAAAATTTTATTATGTACTTATAAATCATTATACTTATATCATTCACTTATAAATCATTTCTTCCGAAGAATTTTATTGTTTATAAAAATAATTAAATTCTTTCGACAAATTGTATGATATTATTGAAATTATAATTAAATTCATGCGAAGAATTTTATTGTCTATGAAAATAATTCAATTCATGCGAAGAATATTATTATTTATTAAAATAACAATTGAATTTTAGTGAAGAACTTTAATAAAAATTTTCTTAATACATGAATTCTTTCGAGAAAGGACCACGCACAAAATACATATACAAATTGGATCCCAGTCAATTTTTTTTTATTTTTCAATTAGGAATCTTTTTCCTGACACCAAAAAACTACTTTTCTACGTAATTTAAAAAAAAATCGACTGGGATCCAATTTATATGTATTTTGTGCGTGGTCCTTTTATTAAAATTGCAAATGATTGAATTTCAGCGTAGAATTTCATTATCATTGTATTAAAAATAATTGAATTCCAGGGAACAATTTTATTAATCGTAAAAAAATAACTAAATTCTTGCGAAGAATTTTATCAAAATTTTTTGAAACTCATATTGTTTGTTTTGAGAAATTTTATTACAATTTTTAAAATAATTGTATTTTTTCGAGAAATTCTGTTAAAATTGCAGGATTAAAAATAATGTAATTCGCGCAATGAATTTTATTATTTATAAAAATAATTTAATTATTGGGAAGAAATTCAATTAATACCTTTGTAAATAATTGAATTTTTTTTGGAGAATAGTATTAAAAAATTTTTAATAATTGAATTCTCTGGAGAAATTTATAATTAAAATTACATTGGAAAAAAATTTCAATTTCTGAAAAAATTGAATCGAAAACTTTTGTAAATAATTAAATTTTTTTCTTAGTATTTTATTAATATTTTTTAAAATAATTGAAATCTTTTGAGAAATTTATTTAAAAATATACTGAAAATAATTGAATTCTTGAAAAAATTTTATTGAAATTCTTTAATACAAATTCTTTCAAAGAATCGAATTAGAATTCTATTGAAAATAATTGAAAATTACTATGTAACCAATATTTTATAAATATTTTTGATAAATAATTGCTTTCTTTTAAATAATTTTTATGAAAATTTTTTAGAATAATTAATTTTTTTCAAAGAATATTATTAAGTTTTAAAAATAATTGAAAATAATTGAATTCTAATAAAGAATTTCATTAAAATTTGTTAATATTATTGAATTTCTTCGAAGAAATTTTCTATTTTTAAAAATAATTAGATTCTTGCCAAGAACTTAATTAAAATTTTTGTAAATAATTAAATTTTTTTCTTGTATTTTATAAATATTTTTTAAAATAATTGAAATCTTTTGAGAAATTTATTTAAAAATGTACTGAAAATAATTGAATTCTTGAAAAAATTTTATTGAAATTCTTTAATACAAATTCTTTCAAAGAATCGAATTAGAATTCTATTGAAAATTATTGAAATACTATGTAACCAATTTTATAAATATTTTTTAAAAATAATTGCTTTCTTTTAAACAATTTTTATGAAAATTTTTTAGAATAATTAATTTTTTTCGAAGAATATTATTAAGTTTTAAAAATAATTGAATTCTAATGAAGAATTTTATCAAAATTTTTTAATATTATTGAATATTTCTCCGAAGAAATTTTCTATTTTTAAAAATAATTAGATTCTTGCCAAGAATTTTATGAAAATTTTTGTAAATAATTAAATTTTTTTCAAAAATTTTATTAATAATTTTAAATAATTGAAAACTTTTGAGAAATTTAATTAAAATTTTATTGAAAATAATTGAATTTCTGCGAAGAATTTTATTATTTGTGAAAATAATTGTACTTTTTCCAGAAATTTTGTTAAAATTGTAGGACTGCAAATATTTTAATTACAAGGAACTATTTTATTATTTTTAAAAATAAATAAATTCCTGCAAAGAAAAAATTTAATTGAAATTTTTGTAAATAATTAAATTTCTTCCAAGAATTTTATTAATATTTTTTAAAATAATTTAAATGTTTCGAGAAATTCAATTCAAATTCTATTGAAAATAATTTAATTTTTGCGAAGAATTTTATTATTTATAAAAATAATTGTACTTTTTACAGAAATTTTATTAAAATTGTAAGACTGCAAATATTTTAATTACAGGGAACAATTTTATTATTTTGAAAAATAATTGAATTCTTCCGAAGAAATTTAATTGAAATTTTTTATAAATAATTAAATTTTTTTTCCAAGAATGTTATTAAAATTGTTTTTAATAATTAAATTCTTTGGAGAATGTCAATTAAAATTACATTTAAAAAATAAATGAATTTTTTCGAAGAATTTCATTAAAATTGTATTTAGAATAATAATCATTTAATAAATTGAATATTTAATTGAATATTTTAATATTTAAAAATTTTGAATCTGAAATTATTCCAAAATTAAAGTTGATATTTGAAAATAAAAAAATTTTGCAATTTGCATAATAAGATTACCGCGTTTTGCGCGCAAGTTTTATAATTCTTTTTAAACAGTTGAAGCAAAAATAACATTTTTTTTTCTTTTTCTAAATTAGCAGTGCAGGAATTTATATGGAAAAAATGAAGGTTACAGTATTAGATGATCTAAGATCAAGATCTACATGACGTGGGAGAAGCAATAAAAAAAGTTGATCCTTTCGAGGCAAAAGAGAAGGAAACAAGATAAATATGGACCACTACTGTGGCGTGTACATGAAAAAAAGGTTAAAAAGGAGAAAAGACGGAGGAACCCATCTTGAATATTTATATCGAAGCCCGAGACTGCTGAGCTCATCTTTCTGAGTTTACAAATATATAACCTACATTACAAGAAATACTTTGTACTTTGTCATGAGAATCTTCCATATATTCTCAGATCACAAGGTCAACTATAATTTTAGCAACCAAGTGTAAAATATCTAATAAAAAATTATTACTATGTTTATAAGAAAATTTTTTTTCCTTACCAATTTTTTCATTCTCAACTCAAATCAATTCTCAACTCCATGAGGCAATAAAATTCGATCTCTTTGGCAACATTTTGAAAGTTTTTTTTTTTTTTTGTAGATTTTTGCATTCGAAACAAATTCTCAACTCAATGATGCATTAAAACTGCTCATAACTTTTTGAAGTGTAGATTTTTCCAGTCGAAACAAAAGGTAAATTAATTCTCTTCTCCTTGAAGCAATAAAATTCTCTTGGTAACTTTTTGAAAAATTTTTTTGTAGATTTTTCCATTCGAAACAAATTCTCAACTCCATGATGCAATAAAACTGTTGATAAATTTTTGAAATGTAGATTTTTCCATTTGAATCAAAAAATAATTCAATCCTCAAATCCATGAGGCAATAAAACTCATGTAAATGAGTAAATTGAAAATGGTAAATTTTTGAAATGCAGACTTTTCCATTCGAAACACAAAGGTAAATCAAATTCTCAACTCCATGACGCAATAAAAAGCTCTTTGGTAACTTTTTGAAATGTAGACAAATTTTCTTCTGTCACAACAAACACATCTTTATTCCTCACAATCTGAAATCAAAGCAGAATGAGATTTATTAGAAAACGAAATAGAAATTACATGGTAAAATTTATACTATTCTAACATTCAACTTTCAGAATATATATATATTACTCAAAAGTTAAGGTTTACAAAAAAAAAAAAATATTTTCGCACTTTTGGAATTTTGTAATAAACTGTCAATCATTTTTCGCAGAAATATTCTCTATGGTATGCGCGCAAAACTTTGATCGCCATAGAGAATTATTTTGGCCGTAAGCTTGGAGTTATTTATTGGCGATTTGATATTACATACATTGGCATTTTGCCAAAATCACCAAGGGAAAATTCATACACATAATAAATGATGAACTGGTCATTTAAGACTAGACTGATATTTTCAAACAGTTTCACCGTTTAACAGAATTTCAACAAATTGCAACAAAATACAATAATCATGGTTGTCACGCTTTCTGCTCATTTCAAATTCCCTGACTTTTCCAGGTTTTCCAGATTAAAAAACGGAATTTTTCCAGGTTCTTAAAAGTACATTTATATTTTACAAAATTTTTAATTCAATTTTTTTTTTTCTTTTTGAAATTCAACAACTTATAAAAAAATTGTTATAAAACCTTAAGAAATCGATCACAATCGATTTCTTTATGTTTTATAATAATTAAA